GAGAGAGAGAGAGAGAGAGAGAGAGAGAAGCCAAGGACCAAAGGGGGCTCCACAGTCACCCTGTCCCAAGTCCTGGGAGAACAATCAGGTCTTCAGTAGTTTCCTAAATGACATAAGCATAGGAGCCACATAAATCTCTTGAGTCCATTCTTAGTTCTGTGTTCCGTTCTTAGAAAGTTAAGCTGCTGACAGACAAATAGAGCTGCTGCTGAGTCCTTTTACAGAATGCCCTTCCAACATCCTTTTGGACTGGAAAAAAATTAAAAAGATAGGAAAGGGAGCATCTGTCTTTCACTGCTTTTCTGGCTTCAGAGCAAGAAGGGTCAGTACAGTGTATGCAGGACACCAGTTTGTTTCCTTCAATCTGCCAATCCCAAAGTAAGTGATCTGATTAGTATTCCATGAACAAATGATGACATATCACACAGGCATCATTGCTAGGTCCCCCATATTTGCAACTGGATAGGCAGCCAATCTAATGAAGGCTAAAAGCAGCTACAAACAAGCTCCCTTCTATTTCAGTGTTCTTCTGTTTAATTACAACGACTATCATCAGATAAAGAAATTATATTCCCTCCTTTAATCTCAGGCTAGATCAAACCTATAGTCAGCATGTGACCTCAAACAATAGCCAATCAGTGGAGGGGGGATAATGTTGTGATCTCAAAAGGGGAATCAGGGCCTTTGAAAAGTGTCAAATGAATTCAAATGAATGATAAATGTACATGATGATTTTTAAAACAAAACTAATTGCATACTTATAGGGACATTCCATATTAATTCAACATTTGATCTGAATTTAAGAAGGTGTGATTCTTCAGTGTCTGATGAGAAACAGCACTGCCTTCATAAGATCAGACTGTTAGTGTCTCTCTGGGTTCAAAAAACAAGACAGTATTTGAGAACAAGGTGAAATACGCCTAAGGTTCCCCTTCATCTAATTTCAGGCTACAATATATTCCAGATGGATTTTTCTAATTACGCTGGATCCCCAAAGAGAAGAACAATGATAGCTTTTAAGTTCTGGTGGGTGACTTTAAATATGCATTATGATGAAGTGAAAGGTCTGTTCCAAAAGTGTTTTATACATTGATAGAAGTCCATAAATCATTGATACTACATTTCTCTTAAATTATCCTTAGTGCTGATTTCCCAGATTCAGCCAGTCATTTTCCAAGAAACAAGGAGAGAGAAAAGAGAAAGCAGCTAACATCCTAGATTGCTTTCTTTACAACCATGCTATCATTATGATTTCATTCAGAGTCCACTGAAGCTGATGACAGTAATAGTAAAAATATTCACTGAAACTATGCCAAGCTAAAATATGATTCAGCACACCAGCGATGATTTAGTAGAAGGGCTGAATGCTATCTTATGGGAACCATAAATTCAAATCAAAAGCATTTTTTTTCCTTATAGAAAATAGCAAACATTTGAAATGCCTAATATAAATTTGAAACCTTCTTATGATTTTGTGTCATGCCTAACTTATCCCCTTGCCCTGGTTTCCAAGTCATTATCAGCCTGAAGCTGTCATAAAAATTAAGTATCTATTTATTTTAAACATGCTTGACTACATAGAACTAGGGAGCACATTTCAAGGTTTTTTTCCAGCAGCAACTTAAATCAGCTTTATATTAGCTCAGACCAATCTCCACACCATCTGGCAGTGGCTCTTCAAAATACTAAACAAGTATCTTCCCAAGTGTGCTACCAAGTGGGATGCCAGATCACGGGTTCAGCTTAGGACTTTCTGCATGAAAGCTATGTGCCTTACACTTAACACTGTTCCTTGTCTAAATGATAATACTTTTTAAATCTTTTCACCATTCCTTGCTCAGACTCCAATTAATATAGTGATCAAGATTCATTAGTCACAAAATACTTGTAGCTAGCTTGAAATTATCACACCAGGCAATTAGCCAA